CTCTCTCCTCTCTCCTTTTATACTCTTCTACCTATCCCTCGGCCAGTAATGCGCATCGTGCTAGCGCATTTCCTCTTCCCCTTGTTTGAACCAGCATTCATACGGCCTCAGTTTTATATATTGTGACAATATATAATATATAATATATCTAATGTATAGTCAAACAGAGCCGCCCGGTAAACCGTACTAGGCAGAGAGGGAGAAGAGGACAACAAACCAAATGAGGGGGGCTGTGGCAAATTGTTTCGTCGGAGTTTCCTCACAGCTCGCTAATTTCAACGTTTCTCTGGATTTTATCCCTCTCTCTAATCTTCATCCGTGCCTACCGGGGCAACTGGGGGTGTTTGCTCTCAATGGTGGTTCTGTATGTAAAAATGGGAACATCCGCACTTTCCCGCCATTTTTCTTTCTGTTTGTTGGTCCTTGGGCGCCGCCATCCTTTCTTTCCCGCCACTCTCTTCCAGCGCATTGTCTCTCTCTCTCTCTCTTTCTCTCTTTCTACATCGCTCTTTCTCTTCCTACCTCCCTCTCTCTCAGCACATGCACACGGACACACCAGCACTCACATGCACGCACACACCCGCACTCAACATGCACGCACACATACGGACACGCAGCCACGGCAGCACACACACAGGGACAGACGCACGCACACCACACACACACGCATGGACACAGACATGAACGTGACCACGTACACGTGTCTGTCACAGACATGTACACGTCTCTCTCTCGCACATGTACACGTGTTAGACGCGGGTGCTTTAAATCTTTGTTAGCCTGCTATCACCTTGTGGTAGAGAATATCTTGGCTCGCCGTTCTAGTATGTATGTCCGTCATCGGGATAGCCCGATCCCGTCCAGCTTTTTAGTCTCGTCGGTCCTCGCTTTTCTGCAGCAGCTGATTCGTTGATGGATCGCTTTTTTTTTTTTTTTTTTTTTTTTATAAGTAGTCCATCGTTTGAAAATGGATCATCTGGTATTAATCCGGGGTCGCATTCAATAAAAGAGCGAGGCTTCTTTTTGTCTTTTTTTTTTTTTTACTAGTAATATATTGAAAACAAATGGCGTAGACGTATATGCTGCTGGGAGCGCACGACTCCTGTTGTCCTGCTGGTCTTCCTCTACTTCAGCTGTTGGCTTTCTTTTTTTTTTTCATTTTTTTTTTCATTATCTACACTATATTCGACTCTCAAATGCTTTTTCCCTTTCACTACCTACCTACCACTACTCCTAAGGTGCTCATTGAGGTGGGGGAACGGTGAAAAGGGAGGCGCAGCTGCTGGCAACATGCTCGGTCTTTCGGTTAGCCGGACTCCCACTGGCGGGCCCCCACCCCATCTCTTGACTACCTTCTTCCCCCGAATACAACGTACGGTCAATATAGCTGTATCTAGACTGAAAGATGCCTCAAATACAGGTCAATATAGCTGTATCTAGACTGAAAGATGCCTCAATTACAGCTCTAATGACCGTACGTTGTATTCGGGGGAAGAAGGTACCGCTGTTGGGGCCGGGGGGCAACATGCAATCCCTTCACTGTTCGCTATTAATAGCGCTCCCGCTTTATTATTATTATTATTATTATTTTTCGTAATTTGGACAATTTCTCGATTTATGCGTCTTGCGCATGGGCCATGCCAATCTTCAGTCTGTGTAACGTTCCAATTTCAAGGGATGTCCCGAAGGACAGCGCGCCCGCTTTAGCGCTACCCGCTTCTCGTACTACCGTCGGTCTTCATCCGAATAGAAGAACGCCCGGTCATTATCGCTGCATCTGGACTGAAAGTTGGGCCAAATGCAGCTATCATTACCGCGCGTTCTATTCGGTTGAAGACGGCAGTAAGGCGACGTTTGCCCCCTAACAGAACGCACGGTTAAAAAAGGACACACACTGTGTAGAGGGTTTGATGGCTGCGATGGACTTGACCGTCTTTCCCCGAATAGAAGAGCACGGTCATTAGAGATGCATTTGCGGGAGCTTTCAGTCTAGATACAGCGATAATTACCGTGCACTGTAGACAGTACTCCCGTTAATTACAGTAGTAATTACCGTGCACACACGCACGCATGCATGCATGCATGCATGCATCTCTAGGTCTGGCTGTTCTTCAGTCCTCGATAAACGAAAAATAGACACAGACAGACACACCAATACTGTGCTCAGGAAGCCTGCTGCTTAGGTCTGGCTGTTCTTCAGTTCTCGCTAAACGACAAATAGACACAGACACGCCGCACACATCTCTAAACATCTCCATACATCTCCACACATCTCCACACATGGAGACACACAGACGTACAGAGACGTACAGAGACGTACAGAGACGTACGGAGACGCACACGCACACAGACAGACACACAGAGACGCACACACATTCGCAGATGCATACGGATACAGCGATACAATGGATAGCAGGGAGAAGAGCAAAGCGGAAGAGGATATTCGATCATGGCCGTCGCTCCCGCTCTCAGGTGTTTGCGCATTTTTATAGCGCGCCAGTTTGGTTACACTGCTTCCTCCCATTATATGGCGCCGGTTTCAGCAGGTGCATGTATAGACATACATAAATAGACTGATAGGTAGCTCAAGATAGATCTATTTATAGAATGTACATACATACATACATACATACCTGCAGCAACCATGGTTGCTGCATGAATAAGAGCAGATATAGGCGTAGGTCCTTCCATTGCATCGGGTAGCCAAATATGCAAAGGAAACTGAGCTCATTTTGCTATAGGTCCACAAAAAAGAAAAAAAGAACAAAAAATAAAAAATACGAATGCATACATACATACGTACATGCAGATAAGTAGCTTGATAGATAAGGTAGATGCTTAGATATGTTGATAGATAGATAGATGGATAGATAGATAAGAAAGATAAGATAGATAATAGATAGATGAGGTAGGTAGATAGATAGAGATGGATATATATATATATATATATAAAAAAAAAAAAAAAAAAAAAAAAAAAAAAAAAAAAAAAAAA